AAAATATTCAGCAAAATTTCTGATCGGCGGGAAGGGGTTTGGGAGAAACGAAAGAAGATACGATGCATATTCATTTCATTTTGGGTGTTTCCACAGTTTTGAGGGAAATGATAGCGTTAGTATAAATAGTCATCGCATTAACACATATTTTGAATGTATCATCCCGGTTTTATTACGTATTATTCGGCACTATTTTAAAAATTAGATAAGCTATGAAGAATTTGGATTTAAAGTATTGTTGTAAAAATTATTGAATGTTCTTGTTATATGAAATTTTAAAACGAAAATATAATAGGAAGGTGTCTAGACGTAAATGAATGGGAACATTGCACGTAAGGCTCATTTGACAAGACATATTTAGAGTTTGAACGTTTGAAAATAAGTTTAATAATAATTAATAATTATTACAACAATAATGTGAATAATTAGCTTTTATGTAATTGAAACTGAAATAACCCGGCGTTGCCCGGGTAATCATGTATCACAATCTATCTAATAGATAGGAAAAGGAATTAATTTTGCTATTGTTAAAATTGAAGTCAATTCATTTACATACCCAACACGCCCCCCAACCGCTCCACCCCACCCCGTCCCTCGCGTCCTCATCCTGTCAGCTCCGATCCACCCTGTATCGTTTCCTTGCGCTCCGCGTCCTGCCTCCCCCTCCCCCTCTGTCGCCTACTCCAAGCACCGCCCCACCTCGCTCCCTCATCGCATCCGCCCACGCCTTGCCTCTCCCCGGCCTCGACCCGATCGTGCATCTGCCCACACGGCTGTATCGCAATAACGTATTTCGTAAATGCACAGCGGGGTTGCCTTAAACGGAATTTTAAACAATTGGGGGAATATTTTGAATCGGGAAACCAGAGCTTTTAGTTGGATACTCAAAAGTGTTCGTGCAAAATTTCTGCAAGTATTCCGTATGCTAAAAAAAAACACGCACACATCGTTTTATATATTAAGATGTATCTCCTTAATTTGTGTTATTATTGTTTTTTGGTAGAAGTAAACTCTATGAAAAATAATAAATCGTGTTTGGTGATAGAAGTACTTGCACCAATATCGACGTTGTTTATTTTAGTGAAAAGGAAAATAACTTTAGAAAGAGTGTGCTCATGCGGCCCCTTTCAAGACTTTTGTCAAAGGGGGCGAACGGCAACCAACTGACTGGGAGCTATGGGCGTCCGACGCGCCGAGGGCCGGGCCTTGCCGCCGAGGTTCTCTGGCGCCTAGGCCTCGACGTGCAACCCTCAGCCGCGACATACGACGTCGCCGCTCCGCGAGCCGCCTCCTTATAGCCGCCGCCGCCGCCGCCGCGTCCGCACTTGCCGCCCGAAGCCCTTCGCCTTATTGAATCTGTCGCGCGGCCGTTCGCTCGGCGCCGCTGTCTGCCGCGGCTGATAATGCCGACCGGGACGCGAACGGGTCTGCCTCCGGCACGAAACCCGTCCAAAAATTACCCTAATAGGCTGTGATATAATGATATGATCATGTCTAGAACATGTAAAACCAGTTCTGGAGATAGTAATCAAGGACTTTGCTCCCGAAGATTGGAATATGTTGCTCACTTAGTAGTTAATCACTAATAATGACTGCAGCTACTGCGACTCGTGAGGAATAAATATTTGAGGTCCGAGCGATAATAGTGTACGGAACACATGGCCAGTGCCCTCTAACGCCCTTCAGCTCAAGTCATGCATTCATATGAGCGCGTTTGTAGCGATCGCCCGGGCGAGCGTGGGGCACCGAGCGTGGAGCGTGGGGCGAGGGGCGGGAGCGCACCCGGGCGCCGCTCCTCCGATCGCTCAGTTGGCCCGCTTCGCCCGGCCGCTGTCCCCCGCACCCGCTCCCTCTCCCGCTCCGCTCGCGCTCTCGTGCCCCGCCGCGCCTCGCCGCGCGCGCTCCCCCGTTCCCTTAATCTGTGCCTGTTTTTGTGCAGGTGCGCTGCGCCGTGGAGGGCCGCGCGCACGGCCACGAATCCGCTCATTTGCGTTCCAGGTCGACTACGTATCGGACGAATTACTCCTTGCATATTTAACGAGCCCGAAAAAAGAGGACCCATTTGAAAGTACGCGATTTTTAGGCATCGCGCGCAGGCGCAAAAGGATGTTGGAGAGGGACGGGAGAGGACGGGGCGAAGACAGGGGCACGCCACAGGTCCGCCTTCCCAAACGGACGCGCAGATCTTCCCGGTGTTGGCATTGCAACACACGCGCGCCAGGTCTTATTCGATAAAAATACGAGCGGGAAAGAGCAGCCGGTAGAGCTTAAAATATGCATTCTTTGCATATGTTCTATTTCGCTGCTACGTCAACTGATAGCGTATCCTGAGGGGGCCGGTCCCGTCGACTAAGCCTAATTCTGCCGGCGAGGAGCGGCGCGCGGGCGCGTGTCGGCGGCGAGACGGGCGAGGAGGAGGGGAGGGGGAGGGCGGGCCGGGGCGGCGTTAGAGACGGCACGTGGCCGTGGCGTGCTCGCGTGGCGCCCCGCCTCCCTCTCCCCCCGCCCCGCCGCTCGCCGTAGCCTGCTGTCACGTGACAGCTCTCTCTCCCACATTCCGCCAGACGGCGGTTAATCAATTTCAGGAAATGTCTCGACAAGCAGCCGCGCCGGCCAAAATAAAGCTCATTGGATCGCGCGCCGGAGGCCGAGAGGAAATGTTTGCGGGGACGGCGCGTCATCCGTCAGGCGGCAGGCCGTGCGGCGCGGCGCGGCACCGCGGCGCGGGCGCAGTTGTGCGCAGCGGCCTTTGCGGCCGGCTCCGTCCGCGACGCCACGGCCCGCACCTCGCGCCCGACTCGAGCCCCGCGGCCCGCGCTAGCGACGTGCCACGGTTAACCGAGGAATCGACCCGCGGTCGCGGCTGCACGCGGGAGAAGCAACGTTTTTACACAATTACTCAACGCGGCGCGGAGTTCCTTTCACGTCAACCATCTTCGCAGCGGCCACACTGTATCAAAGCGACGCGAATCTCCCTGGCAATGGTTGCGCAAAGCGCTTTCGTCCGTTATGCCGGACTTTTCAATTACGAGCACGCGTTTCTTTTGCTGGCTGTTTGCCTGATACACATCAAAGTCTTTTTGCGTTTCGGAATCACTGTAAATGCTATTGGCTGATGAAATGTATGTGTGTGTATTGATGGTGCTGTGTAAATGTTATTATGTATGCTATTGTATGTAATATATATATATATATATATATATATATATACATATATATTATATATATATATACACACACATTATACGCTATCTACATAGCGTTGATTCCACAATACAATCGTGTGTGAACAAATTATTTGATTTTAATAAAAACCACTTAAATGAAGTTCGAAAGAAAAATTAAAGATACTTAATTCCTTGTTCACAGTCATGCCAACCCTCATTACAGCATTTCCCGTAGTATACATTGAAACCCTTCAGAATACCACTAACGCTGTGACACGCGCGCAGTGAAATACTACACGAAATGCACTCAATTCACAGCTTCCTTGAGGGGCGCCGGGCCGTTACCGTAAAAGAACGCCGTATGCTCTCGTTCGCCCCCTCGGCGCATTTCGAGACGGTTGGGCATTTCCCGTGCATTTACGAGCGTTTTATTCCTTGCTCGCCGGCGCTCCGGCGATGCGCATTCCGTTCTCCTTGGGATCGCGGCCGCATCCGGCTTTTAGCCGCCGCCGCCGCCGCGCCGTGCTCTCGCCCCGAACGGTAGCCCGGGTGCCGGGCCGACCATCTGATGGGCCGCTCGCCAGTCGCACGTATGATTTACTAGCACCAGATCGCCTCTGCTGTTGACCTTTCGGCGGAATTACGTGTTATTTTCAAGTTCGACTTGCAGTGTATAAACACGGGAAGCGGAGTGAAACGTCAATTTCGGTTATTTTTCAATCTAATGATGCCAAAATTACTCTTTAGATCTCGTTTTTAATAAAAAGCAAACTGATTTAGTGGGTGCGGGTCCGGATATGTTGTCGGCGCGTTATAATTTTTATCCCGGTCTCGGTTTAATTATGAACAGTAACGCCGAGAGCGTGACTGCTGTTGTTGAATTGGTCGGTGTGCCATATTGATCGAGATGGAGAAGTGGGCGTGCATTGGATGTCACTATTCAGCTTCACTTTGCATTAGTCTTGCCATTTGATCCCTTTGCACCGAACACATGCACGCAAACCTTCCACTCGCAGCCGACGCTGACCTTCAACGCATACGTTACTCCACCTTTGCATTCTTCGGCGTGCACAGTTTTACGGGTCAAGGCGTTTGTTGGTTCGATAAGCTTCTTTTGTAAAAATGCTATGAAGGCAAAGAAGTGTCATTAGGTGTTTTACAACTTCTTGCTATTAATATTGAACGCGCATAATACCGTAGTATCTACAGTACGTTTATGAGAATAGCATAACGCATGAAAACCGGCCGTATCTCCAATGTAACATCGTCAAGAAAGGTCGTTGTTTGTAATTCAGTATGTTGAAATTGTCGTATGTATTAAGAAGGATCTACCAGGTATTGCCTATATCAAAGTAGGTTACCACGACGTACTCATCTCGATTGGTTGTAGTTTAAAAATTAATGGAATTTATTTACATCTATAGAAAATAGAAGTTTAAGAAGGTGTATAATCACAGTTCAATCGAGAGGTAAACTTCGGGCCATCTGAACATATTTATGTTATATGAACTTTTTCTTTTTATTTACGACATTTTTGGTACAAACATGTGTTTGAGGAGTGAGTGGAGGTACATTACCATACCGTGACAAACAAGGCGTCTTTAATTTAAAAACGAGGTAATCAGAATGTATAACATTGCTCCTGGGTATATGGATCACCAAAAGTGAAAACATGTTAATACTATTTTTAGTATTATTTGCTAATTTTTACAGTGATTTGTATTTGGAGACTGTACAAATGTTTGAATGTTCTTTGATGGTGTGTAATAAGCGTTATCTTTGTCGCTGGCCTCTACGCAGCTCGCCCTGACCGCTGTCTCTGTCTGCTTGCAGGGCGACCATCTGATGACGGACTGCGTGTACAACAGTATGGGCCGCACCACCATCACGCTGGGCGGGCTGACGACGCGCGAGGAGATGTGTCTGGCGTACGCGCTGTACTTCCCGCGCGTGGAGCTGGCGCTGTGCCACAGCCTGCCCTCGCTGCCCACCGTGCTGCACTCGCTCGGCATCCAGGAGCTCTGGCAGTGAGTACCGCGCCCCGTCTCTTCCCCCTCGGCGTCCGCGCACCCCGACGTCACGCATGTGGCTAGCGCAGACTGCGAGCGGTTGGCTATCCGACGCGTGATCGCTAATACCGCTAAATGGCGGCGGAGGTGAAGTGAGGGCACGTGCGACGAATATCCGTATCTCGGCCTCGCCGCTTTTATTTGCTGAGTGATGCATTTGCTGAGGGGACGATTGTATTTAGCAGTATACGAGTGCTGCGTCGCCTTTGCGCGATTATCTAATTCGATCACTTTTTTTGAGAAATGCAAACATACGGCGCATTATAACGTAATATAACATTTGGATATAATAGAAACAGTTTAAAGGATTCCTCGTGATACTGCAGTCTTTTTATTGCGTTTACACTCGATTTTATTCACTTTGAAATGTCTATCCATTCATAAGATGCTCAACAAGAACAAGATGGAATTATTGTTTATGGAACTGTAGGTGCAACATAATTACTTACTTCCACTGACAATGAGAGTTTGGAATATTGAGTTTTGGAGTAATGGCACTTCAAGATACCATGTTATGTTAGTGTTGTCAATAATACTCTTGTTTTGAAAAAGTATAAAATCCTGAATTTCCTGAATTTCTTGTTCATAAAAATAAGTGTCAGTTTGGGCAACTTCACCTTTCATTTTTTGTCAAAAACAGAACTTTGTGACATGTGCAAGAAGGATTGCTTACGTTGAATGAATATAAGCACATAGTGAATTATTTTACCGTTATTTGGTACTCAGTTGTTTGTTCTTTTTATAAGCTAAACACTTCAAAACATTGAATCGTAAATTGCGGTAAGAATTATTTTATTGTGATTTTTTAGAACTACCAAATGAAGTTTCCTTACTGATCTTGTTGATATCGTCGTTCACCAAAACTTTAGCATAATATGCTTGAGGTTTCGAACAGCTGCGTTAGCATATATTGGCGATTGACCTTTTTCGTTGCAAACTCGTAAATGAAAGACGAAATCAGCGTGTGCTACCGAAGAGTTTCTATTCACGAAACCTGAGGATTCGATTTTCTCTCAAATCCCACGAATTGCATTGCGACTGGGCACCAGCCACATGCTGCCCAAGAAGTGTTGCTGATTGCTGCTCAACGGCAGCCATGGTTGCTTCCTCAGCGCGGTCGTGAGTTGGAAGGCAATGGCAAAACGCCACATCAATCATACACTAATCAGTATTATCCTGTCATCAACACAATTCCCCCGGGGCCGCAAGGCCAAGACCCGCCGTATGGCAGGAAAGTAAAAAAAAAAAGCGAAGGAGGCACGCGATAAGCGAGGCGACTTCAGTACGTGGCTCCTCCAGTGACTCTCAGAGGCATCGTAAGTTTCCGCTATGACAAGGTACTTGGAAATTGGGGCAAGCGTCTCCGCAAGTTCCTTTCCTGGCGCTGGTCCTCCACCAAACGCGTCGCTTTCTTCTCCCTCCCCTCCCGCGTCCCTCCCTCATTCCCACTCGCGACACTGAAGCTCCATTACAAGCAGCGACCGCTGCCAGTCCTCTCCCAAACTCCCCACAACCCTTCTTGATCCCCGCCTCTCTCTCTCCGCCCTGTCCCCGCCCTCACGCCGCGGCTTCGAGCTACTCCAAAAGTCTCTAATCTCTTCGGAATAACAATTTGCGTCGTCGTTTTATTTTAAAAGCATTTGTATGCGACGCTTCGCCCCAACCGTCGCTTCGTTTGAAGCTATATTTCATTTTAGATACATTACCTTCTTCCCGCAGGCCATGCTGAAGGTTGGCTTGGGGGGCCTGCTAGAAAACCACTCACCAGTGTGAGTGGAAATTGAGATGCTGATGACACGGAGCGTTAAAATACAATTCATTTTGTGTACAAGTGAAAATATCTGTGGAATTATAAGTACTTTTACGGAGAAGTTAGTAGACTGCCTTTGCGCTGCCAAAAAAGAACAAAGAAAAAGCGTTCTGGTCTTTTCTAGGTTACGTAGTTAAATGAGACTTTTTAAAGGAAGGACTTAAATGTGCTGAATGTGAAACAGTTTTTTTTTATTTTCTTGTCGTAAACGCTGATATGAGACGCGTTCCCGACGGAATTTAGGAAGTGGTACGAAAATTGGCGTTTTATCTTTGTAAGCAATAATTATGAATTTCAATAACCATTTCTTCTAGGTTCGGGGATATTCCGACAATTCTTCGTTTCAATCTAGTTACTCAAGATGAAAACTAAGTTGAAAGAAAGCTTGGAGCTGCATTGAAAACGCCTTTGGAATACTCTAACACTGTTGTTTTCCCTCTGTGTATGTTGCCTTTGCTGTTGGCTAACATTTGTTCTCTGGGATTCTGTGCTTATTGTGTTGTCTCATTACTTACACGAAGCAAATGTTTTGGTGACAGTTTTCAAGTAAGTTAAGCTGTTTATTAAAACGAACACTCACATGCGAAGTCTTTAATTGCTCGTACTGGAAGTGTGGTTAAACTTCTAACAATTTTTATTACTTTACTTTAATTGCTGCATGACTTGTGCACACACGTTGAGCATCATGTCATGTACACAGGTTTTCATGTGGACTCGTTTAAACGCTCCAAAAAGTTAAGGAGTCTTCATAATGAAGTCACAAACAACAAAAATGTTTTTATGGTGCCGTGGATTGCAAGGCTGGTCGAAAGACGTTGACCATTGTATCAACACGCGCTTTCCCTATGATACATTTTTGTTTACATTCCTATGTATTGAGTGTATAAATATTGATCGTGTTCTTTTTATTTGCACGCCTTTCGCGGCAAGAATTTCTCTCATTATAACGACTTACTGCTGCTTCTACTATTTACTCTTGTTTTACGACTGAAGGAATGAAATTTATCAAGAGTAATATTGCCTTAAAAACATGTTATTGCTCGCTTAGTGTAAATACAAAGCATTTCCATTAAATCTGAGTCACAAATCAAACGAAATGCAGTCTTCACCATTGAGAACAGACTAACTTTCGAGTAATATCACTTAACCATTTCAGAGAAACTGAGGAAAGGTAATCGATATTTTCTTTGTGTCGTAGTAATAGGAGCAGTTCAGGTTTGAAAAGATGAAGTAACAGCTCAATTTTTGCATGTTAATATGCTTAGTAGAAACTTACAGAAGTTATGTTGTATTGAAATTACCTGGTTAACGATCTATATTCCTAAGTTTTGGTTTTGATAATTCAGCAGGCTACCGCGAGGAGGAAAAAAGCAGCTGCAATGGAACAGCACAAAATACATTGTAGGACGGAAGAGAAAATATACGAGGTAAAAAAATGTTTTACCCATAGCAGCTTTATTTTAAATCGGGTCCAAATGCTTTCATATATCAAGATTTTTGAAATCAGACCATCCGCCAGGAATGCGATGAAATGAGTATGCAATCCTATTCTCGTTCCTCTCAATAAGAGAAAACCTGCTATTGCCCTTTTCGTGTTTACTGAAGCTTCAAAGGATAGAAGAAACTTTCGACGACACCACGTGAACGCACCCTGTGAAAAGGCAAGATTCCTCTTTCCGTTTAGACGAGAGCAGTCAGTTGTGATAGGTTTATTCGAACACTGCTAGCATGTGTCATTTTCACCATTTAGTAAAGTATTTTGGCTTATGTTAAGCAAGTGTTTTCTTATCGAATATACTATTATTCGAAGAATATCTTCTTATCGAATATATAATATTAATATCGAACAAACACTCTTAATTTCAAATAAAGATTGTTAATAAGGCACGGTTCTTACTGCACGTGGAATTAATGTTTCATTGTTCCACCATTCAATTTTTTATCAAAAATGACAAAAAATTATTTAAAATGCCTCAGTAATACATAATGAACCAAATTAGCAAACAGCAAAGCAAAAATTCTGTTGACTCAACAGATTTCGAAACGTGGTGGCAATAAATACAGAACGCACATTTTCTGTCTCGATTCAGTATTTTTAAATGCATCCATCTGGCTCGAGTTGTGAAACTATTTCTTCTTGCGTAACCATATGGCCGAGTGACTTCACTCTGCTCGCCTGATTGGCAGGCGGGCCTGCCTCGGGGAGGCGGCCAGTCCCGCAGCGGAGTTCCCTGCAGAGAAGCTGACGACCGCCCCGCGCCCCACGCCGCGCGCTACGCCCACCGCCTCCGCGTCGTCCCCTTCCCCTCCCCTCCCGCGCCCTCCCCTCCCTTCCCCTCCCGTGCCCCTTCCCACACCCTCTCGACGCCTACGCCCGCGCCGCGTCACCCAACACCCTGCGCAGACGACGGCGGAATCTGCTCGCTACGCATCAATTTACTGGCGCACAGAACCCAATTACGGGCGTAATAGATGCTGTTCAATATCCATTTACTTTCCAATCCCAATACTAGCATTTCTCTCGTTATTCGGTCTGATATAATTTAAATGTCGTGGAATTTTAAATGCCGAAACATAAATTCGCGCATAAGAGGAAATGGGAATTCATGAGTAATTGTACAACACGTGCTCGATGTTGATTTAATGACATTTTAATATCTTTACGCCATGGCTAAAGCGTATTAAATTAATATCGCTCTGCTGGCGGCGCAAGACGTGTAATTGAGTGAAACACGCTATGCCATCCATACGCGCATTGTGGATCAGTTGGTATTAACGAATTAAGCGGCGCACCCGTATGGGCGCCGCGCGGGGGTGTCCGGGCGGTGCCGCGCCGCAGCGGCGCCACGAGCCCTCCCTGTCGCTTCTCTCCCGCATCCGACAGGAACGTTATTGGAAAGCGAGTGTAGGGAACAGGAGCCGAACCTAACTTCCTTACAAAGTTTTCCAAATGTGACTCCCCTGATGTGTCCTCATAAAGGATTCTTCCACCAAAAATGATTTTTTTCGAATTAAGTACTTGGAACGAATTTATTTTAAGGCTACAATGCAGATGTAGAGCGTAACTGTACTTCCTAAAATATGAAAATGTTTATAAAAAAGGGAGTCGAACGGGAGAAGTAGCAGGAAACGGACAGGAGGAAAGGAAAGCGGGAGGAAACGGACAGCCGGCGAAGTTATGAAGAAACCGTCTTGGTACTTGCAGGGAAGCTCCTGCGAAACTGGACACAATTCCTGTCCGTACAGTGTGAACCGACAATCAAGCAAACGACGTTGTAGGACGGATACGAAACGAGATATTGTGAAAATAGATTTCCCAGCTACAGAAAAATCAGTTACCTGCGAGTCAAAACTTTTTAAACGCTATCTGCTTGAAAACGTGTGACAATTCATCAAAACTCTGGAATGAGGGAATAAGGAGTTCGACCGTTGACGAATTTGGAAGTTCAAGGTGATTTCATTACAAGTGTTAAATGATGTATTTCGATGTTCATAATAAAACCACGAATCTTATTTTGCATTCTATACAATTAACTGTCATGATACTATCGCTTTCAATTAATTATTTAAACATATTAATGATTAATTTGCTCATTAAGAATAAAGCGATATAAGAGCAGGTGACTGAATTTGTCTGGATGCAATGTTATTTTTTAATTAAAGAAATTTTATCTCGCTATAGGTTATTAATTTTCAAATAATATGGTGTGATTAGTTTTAAATCAGTGAACGTAAATAAATTGATAATTGTTTTATTGCGATTATTAATGTATTTGAGTATTATATTGTTCCTCATACACAGGTTTTAACATTATTTTGAAGTAATTCCATAAATGCAAAGAGCACTCGAACTTATATTTTTTTAAAATTTGGTTTTGAACAGTACGGTCGATAAATGAAGTTAACCAAAGCTAACACCGATGCTCGATGGAACACAGGTTGATGGGAAGTGCTGTGGAAAAACATCGCACAACGAGAATAGACTCGACGCGCATCAGTTGTAGTGCGTATGAGCGCTTGGAAGAGTGTCACATACACGAAAAGCGTTGTGAAAATCCATAGAACGTGGCCCTGACTCCAAAAATAATCATCTAGCTGAACATCAAAATGTATGTAACCGACAAACAATTTCAGCTAGTTAAACGTACAAAATGATGTTGACCCTTTTGTTGCTTGTATAATATTTGTATGCATTAAAGTGAACAAGTAATCTCATTCATGTTAGCTACGGAACTTATTTTATAAGTGTCTATTGATTCTGCAAAGAGAAATCTCCTAATACGCGAGAGAATATCAGGCAGAACTCACAAAATGAAGTAAACCATACACATTGGAACTTTAGTCACGTCTTCAATCACGTACATTATTTTCAGTCACATACTATGTATTCCTTTTAAATGTATTTGAGAGTTGAGTTCTCCCGTGACTTGAACACCCTCTCTTGGCATATGTACTGACATCTAAACGGTTTAAATTGATATTACATAGATCGTCCAGGAATTGCACGGCATTGACCTCTAATGATGAAAAGAATAACTATTTGAAAATACATCAGCACAATTTTACTTCATATTTTAATATTACACATTTGATGAAATTGCGTACTGACGTTCCCTATCGTTTTAATGGACTTTATATGTTGCGCATTTGCGATGCGATTCTTTTTTCGAATGGATAGTGGACGATAGAGAGTAGGGGCGAGTCGACAGCCCGCAGTATGCCGAAGCGTCGCCCTGACCAGAAGGACCTAGGGTTCAAGTCCCGACGGTTACAGGGTTTTCGATACTAGGTACAGCTCCTGCCTAGAGAGTTTTAGCGACTCGCTGCTCTAATCGGTAGTTTTTCATGATTTCTCCTATGAATACTTGGCAAATGTCGGAGCAGTATCCTAACAAACGGGCCAAGGACCGCGCGCGACCTTTCCTTCCTCTTCCTTGACCTATCCTACCCCTTACTTACACAGACACACATACACTTACAAGCATTACACTATCATACACGTCAGAAGACCAGTCGGTAGCTTAGAGCGTATCCCGGCTGGGGGTAGTGGCTTGCTGGTGGGAGACACCTGGATAGGTTAAACCCCACAAAATGGCGTTTAGGTCGGTGCCGAATCTCCCCATCCAGTGGGGGATTATCACTGCCACCTCATGCGATAACAGATGTAGTGCACTTATGAAAATAATGACCTTAGCATCTGACGCACACGGAAACTCGAAATAATCAACCAATCGAAGAGGCACCCAGAAATGGAGGAGCGTGTGTGGTGGACCGTGCTCTGTGCATATGATGACGGCGAGCGCCCCGCACACACGCCCCGCCGCGGGCGTGGGCAGGGAGCGGGTCGCAGGGGGCGTCCACGGCCCGTGAGT